GGCTGTCCCACGCGCTCCACGGCGCCCGGAGCCCACAGGTGAGGCCCGCCACCGCGGCCGCCGCCTTCCGGGCACCGAGGGTGTGGCCGTGCGCCTGTGGGCGAGTGCGCAAGCGTGAGCGGGTGTGGGCGCCTGTGTCTACGCGGCGAGGTTTAGATGTTGGTCGCCGGGTCCGCGTCCGCCAGGAAGCCTGCGCTGACCACGGTGCATCTCTTCCTTCTCCGAGTTCCTATGACTTACCTGCTGCCGTCCGATCATTGTAATTGCATCGTTATTCTTATTCCCGATTAGCCCAGACTTTCATGGTTGCTAGACTTTTCCCATTCATTTGCAGTCTATTGTTTCTGTTGGCAGGGCGCAGTGTACCTTTGGAGAGAACTCGGAGCAGGGGACGGGAGCCTTGTGTTCCCCGTCCTGCTGGCTTCTCTCTCGGTGGCTGGACCAAGACAATTCTTTTGGTTTCCCCGTCAGTTAATAGGGCGGGGCATGGGCAGGCATTCACTACGTAGAGTATCTGGGGCATCAGAGGGGATTGAGTCTAGAAGTGAAAGTATCTTGTAATTGTATGCCATTTTGGAGTGCACAAAGCAGGTTCTTTGTTAAGGAAACATTTAATGAGTCCACTGCATTGCTAGACTGTGGCAGTACAAAAAGATGGGCCCTGCTGTGCCCTCAAGGGATTACAGACACTGGTAAGCAGTCTCTGTGGAGCATGGCCCTGTCACCCAGTGGAGATGGACAGTGACAATACAGCTGCGAAGGAGTGTATGTGCTGATGTGAGGTCATTTATGTTGCTAGTTATTATTTTCCTTAAAAATAGCTCTTTTTTCCTTTTCAAAGACTAGCTGGAAAAGAATCCATATGACCCAGAATCCTGGCCTCATTGGGACTTCATTGAAATGGGTTGTGATCAAAATGTCTAGGATAGCAGGGATGGGGGGAGAGGGCTCCCATTTTTTGATGGCTGGACCCAGAAGGACGAAATGATTTTCATGAATGTAAGTTCTCCCTTTCTTGTTGTTTCTTCTGAAAGGTTGGCCTGACTTTTGCCTGGGGGTGGTAAAAACTGCAGGGAGTGAAAGGCTGGGGTTGCAGGCCTGTTCCAACAGGCAGGTGGTCCCACACTCTGGAAGTCAGCTCAACTCCCAGCCTGGTGTTTCATGCTCCTGGTAAAGCTGTGGAAGTCTTTATGGGTGGTTGTTTACATGTCTCTCCCCTGTGGGACTGACAACCCCTGTAGGGCTGGACTGCTCCTAATTCACTGGTTGATACAAATAGCACTTGTTTGATCATGTGTTGAGGGAACTCATTTATGTATTTTTAATTCATCAAATATTTATTGAGCATCTGCTATTGCTAGACATGGTTCTAGGTGCTGGAGATTCAGCAGGAAGGAAGGCAGGATATTCCTGCTCTCATGATGCTGACATGTCTGCATAGAAGACAGATAATCATCAAAGAACCACATGCATGGACTAGACCAATTCCTTTTAAACTTGAGCATTTGTAAGAATTACCTGAGAGCTCAAGATAGCCTCCTGGACCCCAATCCTCGATGGTGAATTGTACATCGTTGGGTGAGCAGGAGCTCACAAATCTGTATTTCTAACAAGCTCCAGGGGATGCCAATGCTGCTGGTCCATGGTTTGGGTAGGGCTAGAGTGAACAATTTTGTACAACCTGAGTGCCCCAGAGAAAGTGAAGTGAGTTCAGAGGATTGAGATTGGGTGGTCAGTGAAAGCCACTTGGAGGAGGTGACCTTTGAGAAGGGGCCAGATCTATGGGAAGAGCAAAGGCTTGAAAGAGGCTGCAGCTTGGTGGGTGTGAGGAGCTGAAAGAAGGCCAGGGGCTAGAGAGGAGTGGTGGGTGACAAGAGCGGTGGGAGATAAGGCCCGAGAGGTGATGGGGAGCCCAGATCACATAGGGCCGGCCTCGTGGGTCTTGGAAGGACTGCAGGTTTTATTTTGAGTGTGGTGGAAAGCTACAGTGGGCTTATGAGCAGAGTGACCTGACTTGATTTCTGTGTGTCAGAAGATCCATCTTCTGTTGGGCGGGGAATGGGTTGCAGTGGGGCCAGCATGTTAGCAGGGACACCATTCAGGGCCTGCTGCGGTTGTCCAGAAGAGTTGGGAAGGTGTAGAGAGACTAGGATGGACTTGGAATCTTCTGTAGTAGACCTGACAGGATTTGCTGCTAGATTAAATTAATAATCACTTTGTCCTCAGGGCCACAGTTGAACTTCATTGTGTTTTCAAAACACTTTGCCATAGGGTGGGGTTTACAGCTTGTTGAATGTATCTCTCACCTCCCTGGATCTGGACTATTCAGTCAGCTTTCTGTCTCCCTGTCACAGGCCTGGCACCTAGATGCTGTCAGTGTTGAGCTGATGGATGAAAAGCTGGACTCTCCATAGCCCCGACTCCCAGGCTGTCGTGGGAAGCCTTTTTCTCAGGCTTATGAAGATCCTTCCCACTTGCCCCTGGAGTGGGGCCCACGTTGTCTGCTGAAAATAACTAGCAGCTCTCTGGTTTCAGGATGGCTTTTTGTGATTGGCACGCCTCAGATAGTGACAGCCCCAACTGCAATTTTAAGCTGTATTCAGCATAAAGATCAATAAGTTGTTCCTGGTTAGGTTTTTAGGATGCTCAGTTTTAAAAGTGGCTGACCGAGTAGCTTCAAATTGAGATGTGGGGTTGGTTGGTGAGCTCAGTTGGTTAGAGCGCCGTGTTATAACACCAAAGTCAAGGGTTCAGATCCCCTTACTGGTCAGCTGCCAAAAAAGAAAAAAAGAGAGAGATTGAGATGCACCAGTTCATGTGAACCAGTAGAGATGTAACATGTCAAGCTCATGACACAGTATATTAACCCCGCTTCTGTTTTTCTGTTTTAGGAGAAAGTGACAGTGAAACAATCTGACATCAGATATTTACTTTTCTAAGGAAAAGGGCTTAGTATTTCTTAGGGTTGGGAAGGAGTTCAGCCTACTCTTCTATACCTTGGGAATTGGACACTTGGTTGATTTGTCTGTTCGACGCAATTTCTGAGCCCCCTCAACATGCCTGGCCCTGGCTGGGTGTTGGAGTAGAGAGACAACCAGCCCAGTCCCTGCCCCGCAGGAGGCTGCAGTCTGACATGGGAGGCACATGTAAACCACAGATGCCACGTGGTGTGAGGGGGAGGCCATGTAGGTTGTCTACAGGTTACAGTCTCTCCTGTGCCTTTTACTCTCTGAGCCCCCACTTTCCTCCTCTGTAAAATGGGGAGAATACCTGCCTTATGGCATCCCATGAGCCATAACAACGTACATGGTAGAGAAGAATAGATATAAACTGCCTGATCCAGTGCCCCATATGTCCTAGTGCTTACTAAGTCGTAGCTATTGTTATTAGCAGTAATATAATATGTCATTACTTACTCTGTGAGGGTGGGGTCTGGCTCCAGCACGCAGCCCAGAGCCTGGCAGGTCACTGTAAGAAGGGGCTGGATCGGGAGGAACGTGCAGCGTTGAATCGGGGAAGCTTCAGGGAACATCTCTTCTGCTGGATGCACTTGTTTCCAATCCAGTTAACTTTTGGAGTGCCCGCTGTGTGCCTGGTCCACATCTGCATTTCCTGCAGTAATCCCAGCAGAGCTGCGAAGGAGCTGGTGTTTGCATCTCCATCTTTTTGACTGGGGATGCTGAGGAGAGGACTTGCTGGTGTCTGTGGCTCAGCCATGTCGGCGCCGGAAGTGAATGAGGTCTTCAAGCATCAGGTGTGGCTGTAGCTACGTTCCCTCCTTTGGCTGTTCCTGAGGCTGCCTTCTCGTTGGTTCTTTGTGGTGGTTCCCACGCTGATTTGGAGCATTTCTGAAAAGAGAAGTGGCCTTAGTTCTTTTCT